AGTTCACAGATTTTCATCTGACGTATTCTGAAGGTAAGGATTCTACCAGAACAGTAGTTGTAAAATACTAGTAAAAGTATATCATTATTTTATAGCTTTGCAACTTTAAAAGAGACTTATGAAAAGGCTTCTGAAATGATAATCTTATTTCATTAGTAAGGAAATTATTTAATTGCCTCTCTTCTCCTCCACAGTTTTTAAATTCACCCTGCACTGCTCAACATGAAGACACATGCATACACAGGTGAAACAGAAAAGCTGAGCATGTTTCCGAGCTCTGCTATAGCAACTAACTTTACAAAACCAAAACCCAATTCTGTTCATATATTGCAATTCTCTGACAAAATTCTCTAAATTTAATCTGTAAGTCTCTAAAAATGTGCGATAAGCTATGCATCTTTGGGTCATACACAGAAGGAAAAGAACACGTGATAAATTTACAAAGCTAAAGAGGATCTTGCTAAGTCAGAAACATTCAAGTCCTTTCAGACGTGGAGGAATTTGACCTATACAATGTCATACTGATTTTGGACTTTTATGGAGATGATATCCATATGAATCATATTTGAGCTGAATAAGTCAGCTTAAAAGCTCCTTAATTATTCTTACATGTTGAAGTTTTGGCTGTAGCAAAAATGCATCCAACTCCTCTCCGTGCCTGTTACTTAGATCCATGTTCATCAAGACTAACCAAGATTATAGGGAATGATTTCTTATACAGCTGAGTGAAATACGCAGAGACTGCTGCCTTTGGACCACTCTGCAGCACACGGTTTACTAACACAGATTCACACATACTCTGTCTTCACTGGGGACTATCCATGCTTCAGACCTCTGAAAGTCCTCTTGTTTAAAAAAATATGGTTTGGGCCTAAATAAGAGCACTAGCCTTGCCAACCTGAGGCAGGTTTAAATGGGTGTTAAAGGCCCAGAAGATCCATTACCAGTTCTCTCACTCGCTATTGGCTGCACATCACTTAAACATATTTCTCCCTCTCACATATGCAGCTAGTGAGAAGTGGCTATATTCTGTATTGCACTTGCTGTAAGCTATACACACTGGGCACTGAACAGTATGACCAGAAATCTTGCAGGATTTAATTTACAATCTTGCATGTTGTAAGCCCCTCAGGACAGGAAACTCTCACGTTTTATATATCTATAAAACAACATGCATACCTATGACACTGTATAAATAACAGAGGATCAGATTAAAAACATCTGTAGACACTCTGGCTGATCTATTGTCTTGCTTCCTGCTGTCTCTTCAGAATTTTTGATGGCAAACGAACCATTTCACACAACAGGATTGCTAGCAGTGCTGAGGCAGCTACATATAAAACTGTAGCAACCTGTTAACAAGAGACCTGACAAAGAGAGAAATTAAAAAATTATAATAATCTGTCCTTCAGGCATGACCTCCTGACAGGTTTCTGTCTGACTTTTGTTTACTTTTTGCCAAGAAGAGTTACGAAACATGGATGACAAACAAAACAGTTCTGAAAATGTGGTAGGAGGCAGTAAGCACAACGTTTCTTTGATTCAGAACTAAGTCTGTTGTGATACAACTTTGGCTGCCCACAACTGTCAACATCTATTCATCTATTGTAAATTGCTTCTGTGAAAGCAAAAATAATGTATATCCACAACATGGTGATAGTCACACAAGATATAAAGAGATTCACACACTGTGCAAGTATTGACTACAGAAATAATGCTAAAAGGGAGGCAGACTGTTATTGATACCAAGCAGGGAAGGGAACAACTACATTTCCAAGAGAGAGGCAAAGAATCCTAAATTTAGAACAAAATTCAGAACTGAAGCCAAGATACTGTCATCACCAGAGCTGCGTGAACATCTCACAGAAAATCCTTCAACAGCGTTAAACTCAGCTACTTTAGGTTTAGAAGAGGGGAAAAAAATCAATTCCCTTCACGTGAATCATCTCCGTGTCCTTCAAATCGCTATCTAAAAATTAAAATTGAAACATTTTTCTCTCTGCCCAGCTACATACTTTTCTAAATTGATTATAAGCCTTCCACTTCTCTGTAGTCCAACTTCTGGCAGCTGGTCACACGGTAGGTCTGCTGAATCGAATGAACCTGGTATGCTTTTGCAGTACATCTCAGGCTGCTTTAACAAAAGACAAGCACTAATTAAAAGTCACTCCATCTAATAAAAAAATTTTGCAGTGAGGAATTAACGACAGTTAAGATAGAGGAAAATGCCAGAAGTATGAAATTGTATGAAAAAATGTTTTCTTCAAAATGAGACGATCTGAAGAAATCCAGTCAGATAATTTCACATGAGAGTACTTCTCTCCACCTTTCCATGTTATTCTCAGACCTAACCATACTTAGCCTTGCCCATTTTCCTCTCTCCTTCCGGCATGTAAGTGATGTAGTGATGAGACTTTCTACAGTTGTATTTAAAAGTGTGGTGTTTGCTATTCAATTTCTACCACTTCTTTTCAAACAAACACTTTGAAACCTAACACGAAAAAAATGTTACGGAGCAGAACACTTCTACCCTTAATCTTCTGGGAAGAAAGAGTTGGGCACATATGTACATATGTATGAAGATGTACACATAGAATCCACACAGCTTCCAAATGTAGAGTATGTGAAGCACTTACATTGATATTATTTTTGTCTTTCACGTTACAAGTCTGGATACCAGAGACTTTCGTTCTGCAAAGAAGAAAGGACGCTCAGTTTTATCAGGACATTCAATTACTAAACATCTCCCAAAAAACCTAAGATTGTCTAAAAATGAAATTAGAATGTGATCAAACTGTACTCCTGCCTGCTTAACAACCAGAGAATGCCAGGCCAGC